TCTAATCTAATCTAATCTAATCTAATCTAATCTAATCTAATCTAATCTAATCTGATCTAATCTAATTTAAACTAATCTAATCTAGCCGTATTTAAATAGGGTTTCGAGAATACATCTCATCAATCTAATCTAATCTAATCAAATCAAATCTGATCTGATCTAATCTGGTCTTATCTAATCTAAGCAAACTAATCCAATCCAATCTAATCTAAGCTAATTTCAGCTTCTTTAATCTCTTCTGTTCTCTTCTCATCATTACGTCGAATCCTTTGATTGTGGGAAATCCAACCTTCATTCCTTTTATCGCATATATTGAGTGCCAGACCAAATGTGCTTTAAATCAGTCTAGATGAACGCTGCTTGTTTAAATTTCTCATAGTTGTACCACGAACTGCTACATTCACTTGCAGCGTCAGCAAGTCTTGCATTTCTGACAATCCTTATTCAAGTAGCTAGAGTCGGCTTAATTCTATCACTTAATCCCACACACTAAAGATGCTGACTAAGCTGCCAGCAAAATGTCTGCTATTGTACCACGTCCACAGTAGAATGCTGAAAATTATTCTGACTACTATAATAGAGGACTTCGGACAATTTGTGCTTATCTAAATTGCCTTAAAAAAGCGATCAATTTGCGAAAAATGGGATAAGCCACACCATCTTGGTCTTCAGATTTGCTATAAAAAGATAATTGTTTTCATTCCCCACAATCAACTTTGTCGGCCTGCTGATGCCGCTTAATTTCGCCGGCTTTCTTATCGCGACCGGACTGCAATTTAGACTTCATTTTGGCTTCTCATGCGAACCTTCAACGAGAAGTGGAAGCACCACACACACACACACTCACACTCACATGCATCAGCTGGTCTCAGAGCAGATGTGACTTTTACGACTGACAAAAGCCCCTTTCTCCCTTCGAAGGACTTCAGGAATGATAAGTTTATATAGGCAGAGTTGACTATTACAGTCACGTTTCTAAAGTGAGGATAAACCATATCATTTCTTCCGTTCGCCCTCTTAAACTGCATCGAGAGACTCAAGTTGCTATGCCATTAAGGCCATTTTTATCGTACACGATACCTTTTATGCAAGACAAGTAATCTTAGATAGAGCATTGGCAACTCGAATTTGCCTCCTTCTTGAAGAAAGGCCCAACGTGGTCCCTACAGACCGACGCACCATCAAGCCTGGCAAATCGTAAGAAGGCACACAGCGACTGGGTACCTGTTGCCAAGAGCTGGAGACTGAGGGACCGAGGAGAGGCTGCTGGGGTAGCCGGGAATCCGGCCCATCGGGACGTAGACGACGCCCTCGTGGCTGACGAATGCACACGAGTTGAGTGAGTTCCTCGAAGCGGGATTCAGGTCGGCCGAGCTGAGCAGCAGCGGAGTGAAGCCGTGGGCGCCGGCTGTAAAGGCTCCTCTGCTGGCGTTCTGTAAGACGCTGCCACCCTCGAAGATGCCGCCAGCTCCGCTGCCGTTGCCGCCGTTGGCACCGACGCCGTCGCCACCTCTCCCAAGGGTCGACAGGGTCAGGAGGTGTGAAGGGTACATGTGGCCGAGGCCGGCGGATGTGGGGGCCAGGCTGGCGCGTCCGGGTACACCGAGCCAGCGGAGGCGCTGATCGCTGGCAGAAGAGTGCAGTCGAGGCTCTCCTGAAGTGCAGTCGTCACGCAGTTCTACACTGCTGCAGATCTGGTGACGAGTTGGCGGACAACAAATTGGAAAAGTGATAGCGAAAGGAGGAGATGAGCAAGAGGGTAAAAGAGAGAGAGAGAGAAAGAAAGAAGGAGTGAGATGTTTGAGGAGAAGGCATAAGGACTGTCGGAAATGGCAGAAAAGCTAGTCAAGATTTGCTGATTATGGTACGTCTGTGTTTAAAAGGAAGATAAGAGAAGCTATTGAAATTAGAAACTAGTAGGTTTGCTGATTATGGTACTTCTGTGTTTAAAAGAAAGATAAGAGAGGCTATTGAAATTAATAGCTTAGAAAATACATCAAAGTGAGGAAAGTTGAGTAAGAATTACTTATGCTTGATTGATAGATTGAAAGAGAGAGAGGGTGTTGAACCACCTTCAAAAAGAAGGCGACTCAATTTGTCGGCTCAATGATGTTTCTAATTTTACTAAAATCCACCCAAAATATTACATTAAGCTCTTCAAACTAACCAGAGATGTAAGATTACGCAACCCCAGC